AGGACATCATTTAAATTTTTAGTACTCGAAATTTGGGGTGAATCAAAAATGGTGAGGGTAGGTGGGGAAGTAATTTGAAGTCTCCTGATATACTCATGAATGCAACCTTTTTGCAGCAGTTCACTTCTCTCACTGTTTTAAAAAATTTTGCTATAGGTGCATGTGCTTGCCAGAGAGCGAGAAAGAGAGAGCACATACCCTCCAGGGGAGATGACCACATTGCAATCCCCTTTCCTCCATTCTCCTCTGAGGATTTTGGGCATGCATGCACACACACATGCCTAGCTTTTTTCAAGCCTCCGGGTCTGGGACTCCAACTGTGCCGTCAGCCATGTGGTATCCAGTACCTTAAATACCACGCCACCTGCTGGCCCTGGTCACTTCTCTTAATGTGCAAATATACATAGGTAGGTTGATCCACAGCAGAGAATAAACGTGCGTGTCTGGGTGTAGTTGTGAAGATGGAACCAGATCTTGTCTGCCTTACTGCCGTACTCACAGCTGGGTCAGGAAAGTGGATGAAAGCAGCGGAGGATCACAGTCTGGTTCCCTCACTTCACGGTGTTACGCTGCTGTTCACAAGGTGAGTGGGCATTTCAACTTCTGCCTTATTTCTAGTCGGCCTTCTTTGGTCTGAGAGGCTGAGTTGGTGTCAGGGAGGAAAGCCTCACTACTTTATAAATGATCAAATCTGCTTCTGCGGAGGGATGCTCTAGTTCCCTTTTTGTTGCTGTTATTCCAGTGTGCTTGTTATTTTTATTTTACTTGTTCTCATCCTATTCTCTTTCCTCTTGTTATTTCGAATTTCAGAGATGCCTTACATTTTTATTTCGTCTAGTAAGTCTTGGGACCCTTAAGAATTTTCCATTCTTTTTAAAAAATTTTTATTTATTTGCATTCATTCATTGTACTTCATTACAACATACAAAATGAGATTTCCCATCCAGAGTACATTGTATATTGGCTCAGTCAAGCATATCAACATACATGTTATCATCATCAAATAATTTTCCATTTCTTGTTTCCTGTATGTTTTGCTTTTTTTCCCATCCTTGATTCCCTATCTCTTACCCTCCCTCTGCCATCTCCCACTCTCCTCCCACACTGTCTCTGGTATCTATGTTTGCTTTCTATACTGCTTTTCCCCTGCATTTTATTAAATCACTAAAGATCTTAATTAATCTAAATATTTTCATAGCAAGCACAGCTGATATATACATTTCCATGAACACAAGTCTAACTTTAGGCATCCTATAAAGTAGCACCTAGCTGGGGCTATATATCTTACTGCGGTCATCGAATAGATATTTTTTTTTCAGAAACTATTTTTTTAACTTAATTTACATTCTTTCCCTGAGTATCATCACGACACACCAAGTGTAAGCATCATCACAGCATACAAAATGTGATTTCCCATCCAGAGTGTACTGCATAGTGACTTAATCATGCATATTATTATCAAAAATTTCCCATTTCTATTTTCTAGAATTTTTTTTAACCCCTATTTCTGATCCTCTGTCCTTTCCCACCCTCTTCTCATACTATCTCTGGTGTCTATAATTTACTTCTATTCTTTTCCCACCCACATTGTATTGATCACACAATCTCTTAAATAATCTAACTACTTTCAATAGTAAATTCTTTGTTATCTGGTTGTAAGGATTTGTGTACTGTCTTGAGATATAGATAGGTTCATGCACCTACCATTTGAACAGAATCCTAACCTGTTTCCTGACTTTAAGCAAAGTTCCTTAGCATTTCTTTAAGTTAAAACTGGTTTTCTTAAACATTCTTAAACATACAGCAGCCTCGCGCAGAAGCAGCCAGCTGGGCCTCAGGACCTGGCACCTGAGAAGTGGCGCACAGGCAGGAACCTTCGTGCACCAGAACCTGCGAAGCCCTTTCTTCCGGCGACGTCTCTCCTGCGCCATCTACTGGCAAACCTGATCCTCTGTCACCAAACTTTCTAAACCACTGACGTGATGACAGTTGGCAAAGGACGGTATTTAAACTCTCACAGATGGCCAAAAGGATGAGCTTAGTAACTCCATAACCCGTGCAGAAATGTTCATATATGCTTCCTAGCTGTTCCTCCAACAGGTTAATTTTTTCTTCAAACATTTTCTCATCCTTTGCCTTTCTCCTTCACAGTAAATAATTTACAGGTACGTGTACTTTTTTTGTTGCTTTATACACACACACACACACACACACACACACACATACACACCACACACGTATGCATATATCACACACACACACACACACATATATACAAACCACACATGTATTCATATATATTTATGCATATATAGGTGTATATATATACATACATATATACATATATATGTGTGTGTGTGTATATATATATACACACACACATATATATATATTTGTGGCAAGCTGGACAGGTTCTTTAAAAAGTTTCTAGTTAGAAAAAAATGTGATATTATTGCTTCCTAACTCCTTTCACCTCCTATGGGAAGGGAAAAAAACACTGTGAGTTTGTTTTCACAACTGGCCTGGGAAACCGACTTCGTACATCACGGTAGAAAACTAGGTAACTGTATAGATGGACAGACAGATGAATATGCAGCTGGATACACAGAAAAAGAGAAATAGAGACAGGTTGAAAGAAGAATGCGGACAAGGATAAAAACAGTCCTAGTCGGGAACCAGCAGTTAGTGTAATGGCTATGTCGCTGGACTCCCACGTAGTCGACCCTGGTTCGTGTCCCGGACCCGGTGACTTAAAACTCACGCCGGGCGCGTGTGCGTGCGTGCCCAGGATCCCGAGAGGAGAATGGAGGAGAAGGGATTGCGGCGTGACCATCCCCCCTGGGGGGTGATTTCTCGCTTTCTGTCTCTATGTCCCTCTCTGTCTGTCTGGCGAGCGCACGCGCCCTACAGTGAAAACCTCTCCAAAAAAAAAAAAAAACAGTCCTAGTGAAAGAAACACATCTCTGTTGAAGCTAATTCTGTAGGACATAGATTTAATCTCTGGTATTAAAAACTGGAGGTAACCTGGGAGGACACTTTGTCCTGGGATCGGTAGGTGTCTTTGTCCCCAACATGCCAGCCTTCCTCCTCTTCATCCTAACACACTCACCCGAATCTTTGGGACTAATGTCTTCTCTCAGTTTAGCTGGCTTCCAAGACAGGTAATCAGGAAGTGCCTACCTGGAGGTCTGTGTATGAAATGAAACATGTACTTACTCTTACACACACATGCACACACATACACACGCACAGCTCGAACAGTCACTCTGGGTGTGCAAGCTCTCTTTTCCTATTTTTGACTCTTTCTAGAGTGCCCTCCAAGCAATGCTCAGACTTACTGTCTACTGCTGTTCTTCCAATGGGAGGGTTTGGTATTAATTTTTAAATCGTCTCCTCATTTTGTAGTTCTGGATTGTGTGCCTTTTTTTGTTGTTTGCTTTGTCACATGGCATAATGTATTTCCTTATCTCTATAGATTTTAACCATTTTTTTTCTTTACTCAGTGAAATATAGTGTGTGTGTGTGTGTGTGTGTGTGTGTGCGCGCGCGCTCTTAGGGTTTCATTACTGTAGATGTAGGGTTTTGTATCCAAGGAAAAATTAAGACTAGTATTTATTGTTGACTCTAATGCAGATGTTTTCATATAAGGATCTTAAAATCTCACAATCATCTTCGTATCCTAAGAAAGTATGCAGGTCACAGATTTTTACCGAAAGGAAAATTACCCTGTCTCTCTGGTGAGTGCATATGCCCTATAGCAAAATCTCTTAAAAAAAAAAAAAAAGACACACACACACACACACACACACACACAGACCAAATCATGTAATGAGTATTTTAGTATTTAACAAATGCTTTTATTTCAGGCACTTTAAAAATCCTGCTTTAGAACATTGTTTCAGCTTTATAAATCATGGTATAGTTCTTTATAAATGAGTACCTTTTATATAGAGGGCAAAAGGAGCGATTCGGAGTGGACTTTTTTGTACCTATGTAACTGAGAAAAATGTTAGCTACGGAATGTGAACATTCCCTGAGCCCTGGAGCTCATGGGGGAGCAGCGGTGCTCTCCCACTCTTTCTCATTCTTTTTTTGAGAGGTTTTAGCTATAGGGCGCGTGCGCTCACCAGAAAGACAGACAGAGGCAGAGAGACAGAAAGTGAGAAATCACCCCCCAGGAGAGATGGCCATGCCGCAATCCCTTCTCCTCTTCTCCTCTCGGGATCCTGGGCATGCATACACATGCACCCGGTGTAAGCTGAAGCCACTGGGTCTAAGACTTGAACTGTGGTCAACTACATGGGAGTCCAGCAACATAGCCATTATGCTAACTGTTGGTCCCTCTTTCTCATTCTTGAGCACAAGAGCCCTCTGGCAATAAAACAACAACAAAACAAGCTTTTTAATGAAGCTAGACAGGTTGATACTTGTTTTAAATGCAAAAATAATCAAGAATATTCAGAAAAAATGAACAAAATAAAACCTGTAATAGACTAATATGTTATTAAAATGCACTCCAAAGTCTAGAAAATAAAACAGTGATCTTGGTACATGAAGACAGAGGCCAGTAGAAAGTCCAGAAGTAAACCCCAACATATATGGGAATTTAGTGTACGATGAAGATAGCATCTCAAATCATTTGGATGAAGATACAGTTTTTTTTTTTAAAGTTACTTAATTTTATTTATTATTACTATTTTTTAGTTTGACCAGAGAGAGAGAAAGTGAGAAAGCAAGCCACCAGGTCTGGGACTTGAACTGCAGTGGCCATGTGGGAGTCCAGTGCCTTAAGCAGCACACCACATGCCAGCCTCCAAATTATTTACTAAGTGGTGGCAAGTGGGCCAGCTGCATAGCTTAGTGGTTAAGTGAGCCAGATCTCATACGGCCGACACTGTCGTTCAAATCGTGTTCCTGGTGCCTTGATACACAGAGATGTAATGTCATATATGTAATTTAAAATTGTCTAGCAGTTACGCAAAAAGTAAAAACAGATGAAATTAGTTTCAATATATTTTATTAGTCCGATATAAGTAAAATCTTATCATTTCAACATATAATCAGTGTTGCAATTAATAAACTGTTTCACACTCTTCGCCCAGAGACGTCTTCGAAATCCAGTGTGCATTTTACACTGACTGCACATCTCGGTTTGGACTAGCCTTATTTCCAGCGCCCAGTAGCACAGTGCTGAGTGGCTCCTACTGGGCAGCGAGGTGAGATGGAAAGCCATGGTGCTGGACGAATACGAGAGAGCCAGGACTGGACCTGGCAGCCCTTGAACAGCTAGAGTGTGGGTAGAAGAGGAGTTTACAAAGGAGAGAGCCCCGTATTCCAGGCGGTAAACGAAGCCTGTAGCGTCAAGGAAGCAGTAAAGGAGAGGACAGCCGACCGAACTGCATCTACTGAGGTTAAGGAACTGTTTAAAACGACAGGGGAAAGGTAGCTATATTCAGAGAGATGGAGCTGCTATTCCTCCAGCCCAGAGTTCCACTGGTCAGTTTCACTAGTTCCTCTGTTGGCACCGGGGAGAGAATGGGAAGTGGAAAGGGGAAACCTGTACCAGCTGGGAGCCCACACGTTCCAAACGGCTCATCTCTGACCCCGTCCCCCACCTCCTCCTCTTATATTTTGACCTCTACTGGGGCCTATGCTGTAAATCTAGGAGACACCCTGGTCCTACCTCTTTCAGATCCGATGTGCTATTATTTATACACATCTTCCCATTCTACCTCCTAAATAATTACGGATTCTGTCTCCTCTGCCACACCCCTGCCGATCTTCACAACTGCAGCCCCTTCCCAGAGTTATTCCGCCTCCAGCCTAGCTGCCCTCCAAGTTCTGTAGGCAAAGCCTGGAGACTCCCAGAAAATGGAAGTGGTGCTGCATTGCAAATCGAATCTCTAAAAACAGGAATCTTGCAGACTGGCTATTTGGCTGGAAATCCTAGCACAGGCTTCTCACTGAATAGATAGAGGGATTCTTGAGTTCCTTTTAATTCTCAGATCGCCATGAACACAAACACACCCAGATCTGTTTCATGCCTGGCTTTATTATCCTTCCCTCCCTCCTTCCCACCCCCTCAGATAGGCTCTGGGGGTGGCACCTTCTTACTAGCGCTCACCTAGATCTCACCTTCAAGGAGCCTCAGCGCCTCCCCTCCCTTTTCACCTGCTCACAAAGCTGGATGAAGTGTGCCCCCAGCCTTCCTTTCCCGAAGGTCCTTCCCGGGCATTTTTGTGAAATTCGAATTCGAGCCTATTTCTGTCGCCGTTCTCACCACAGCCATTCAGTCACCGTATTGTTTGGAAGCGTCAGTTTCCCTCCTCTCTCCAACTAAATGCTGCACTTGGAGGTCAGAGGGCCGGTCTCATCCCATTCTGTATTCCCGGCACCCGGCAGGTGGCTGGACACAGCGGCCGCCGCTCCATCTCGTCTGCTGGGTAGTCGCAGTGGTCAGAAGAGCTGGGGAGGGCGGTGCCGCTGGGAGAAGGGCAGCGCGGGCTCGGGCGTCCCCCGCTCAGGTCGCATCATCGTCCAGCAGTAGAGGCCAGCACTTCCTCAGCGAAGGATGTACGCGTCACCAGCGCAGGGACGAAGGGACAGCGCGGGGCGTCTAGTGGCTTTCGGTCCCACGGTGACTGTCGCCAGGCCGAGCAAATTGCAATTCTTCTTCCCTCCCGCTGCCCCCCACGTGACGGCGGCCGCTCACGTGAGCAAGGCCCTGCGTGA